AATTGCGCCAATGCCGAACTACCAATTACGCGCTCCAGCTACGCGCCTACGCGAGGTACACGTTAACTTTTGCTGGGTCTAGCTGGAATAAGTAACAGTTAGGCGCGCGGCTAAAAGAGCTGCCAGTGTATTCTCGGATATATAGGAAAAAGGCACCGTCAAGAAATCTTCCGACTTTCCGAGCACACCGTCAACTGGAACAGGCCGCTTGTTGTTCGTTCGTTGTCGCTGTCCTTCCACCGTGTAAGTTCTCTCAGCTTCGGTCACTTCTCAAACTTTGATGCGATCGACGTCCGTGTCCATTCCTTTCCGAGGTTCATGCTGTAGCTCGCACTAGCTAGGCACGTTCTCTAGCGTCATATACTCTCGAATCATCGATATCGACTCTAACTTTCCTTTCGCACAAACGCTCACCACCGGCCAACGGAAGTAAGTGAACGCGAAAATGCTTCACGCACTATATGATCATTCAGTTCGTCGCGCAAAATTTTGTCACCGTATATTTTCTCATGAGACGTGTTTCCTGGTCTTGCAATTAAGAAGCACCAACATAATAACCATATCAAGTAGATGAAGGCCTCTCAGTTCAACAGTGTGCTGATGACATAATCATATTGAACATGATATCGAATTGAACAAGCAAATAATAGAAAACAAAATCTTTTGTACGTCTTCGAAAGCTTTAGGGATTAAAAATTGATTTTCACAATAGTAAATTGTTTTGCTATGAGGAAGCTAAGGATTTCGTCGAAAAATACTCATAGATCTTTGGACGTAGGACGGGTCAATACACTTTTAAATACCTGGGTATACCAATGAATTGTAGAAAGATCAATAACAAAGAGTAGAAATCTGCCAAAGAACACTTCTAAAAGAAAATACGTAGTTAGAAATGAAAACTTTTATCCTTATGAAGGTCGGCTAGTTTTGTAAACTCAATTTTAAGTAGCCTTGAAATATACATGATATCCTTCTTTGAATACTAAAAGGTCTTTTTGAAAAGCTAGACTATTATAGGTCTATCTTTTTCTAGCAGGGGACACCGTAAGAAAAAGAAATATAGGTTGGCAATGGGAGAATTTATGGCTTAGGAATTTCAAATCTTGAGATTGAAAATCAATGCTTACTTACCATCTCAACAATTTCATGGACCCTTATAGGAAAGCAAGCAACAAGGGCCTAGCAATATAATTTTTAGGGCCTATCCGACACGGCTCCGGGTCCGACGGCGGCTTCTACAGAGGAGTCAAAGGAGCCATACCAAACACTTTAGCATGATAGACCATATATATACTAAGTACTATATACATACATATACTCATGGCCCCCCCTCGTGGATGGCCCCCCGGCCGTCGCACCTGCTGTCCACCCCCAACTTCTTAGGAATTGTATATTTGAAACTTTGGGTACAACGTATTAGAAGCTGGCAGGTTCACAGTTCTCCACCTTTAACCTTCATTGTGGTGCTCGAAGTTAGGTTGTGATGACAGAGAGGGTAAGTGGTTAGGAAACTTCACCGTAAAAAATAATATCTATGTTTATATAATATTATAAAAAGAAACATGTAATAGTTGATCACGTTTTTAGCACCACACCTCTTAATATTTCTTTTCGTAGAATGCTAGTGATGATAGACTACTTAAGTAGACAGGAATCGGTCATAAAAGTGACATTTGTGCAACTCGATCAACAATTAGTAGACCCTTACTAATACGGATTTTCACCTTGCGAATGTATAAAGAATAGTAAACCAAATTGCAGTGCCTCTAAATAAATCATTATGGAAGCTCAAGTACCCATAAAAGTTCAAGATATTTGTTTAAGGGGTGATTTTGACAAAAGACGATCTCCTAAAATAAAATAGGAAGGGTGATGAAAAGTATTATTTTTACAATAAAGGAATCATCCAACAATTGTTTTTGGAGTGTAACGTAGCATAATTTATTTGGAGGATTGTCCATAGAATTTGGCTTACAACCACCAATTGATATGACCATTTTTTTAAACATGGTTACAAAAATGGATCGAAAGCTATGATATGACTTTTTGTTCAAATATGGTTACAACAAATGGATCCAAAGCTACGATCTCAAATTTGAGTGGGAGCATGTGCTTTCTTTGTAGTCTATATGGTTTTGACCAAAAAAACATTAATTATAGTCTTATTTACATGTTGTTTTTAGGGCAACCTATGGGATGCAGTTCTAGTCAATGCTTTAAAAGAAGTTCGACCAACAAAATTTGAAGTGGGTACGCCGAGTGATGAAGACTACAACAATACAGAATTTTGGGAAAAATAGGTAGAGGTCTTCTAATAGGCTAGAGCTTAGTTTGTTGCTAGTTTCATGTAGTTTTTTACACTTTTGTTGATTTTTTAGAGCTCTTCATCAGCATCCTTAGTGGCTGAAACTTTGTAATAATAGATAGTTTTTTTCTCGAATATGCAAGAGGATTGCGTATCATTGTATTAAGTAGATAGAGTTTAAGAATACAAAAGAGTTCCGGCATTAAGCTGGTTACAGATTTGAAAGGCTACATCTTGAAGGTGACAACCATGACGACTGAACAGCAGCTCTAGCTATGCCCCTGTTGCCAAAAACTCGAGGCCATGCGCCCCGGCCTGAATCCAAGTATCCGTCTCTGCCTTGATCACCGGCATCAGCTGGCCCACTGTGGCGGAGGCATCCTGGAAGCATCAAGCATTCCCTTCCTTCCAAATTGTCCATGATACAAGCGCGAAGAGGATGTCAAAGCCTTGCTGCTACTGGCCGGTCCACAACGATCGCAGTCGTCGCCAGAAGGTGTGAATTGTTGGTGTTGCCAGTGGAAGCTGTCGGCCGAGAGCTTGGCAGATGTGATGCCATACTTCCCTGGTGTATGGACAACATGCTATAATATGATCAATGGTTTCAGTCGCCTGATCACAGAGGTAGCATTGCTCTCTCGCGTCGAGGCCATGGCGGGCACGACGGTCAGCGGTCCAGTGTCACCTTCTAAATGCCAGCCATAAAAAGATCTTGACGCGCAACGGCGCCCAACTTTTCCACATCAAACGTTGGCCCAGAAATTTTGTTGATCCAGAATGGAGTAATGATAATAGATAGTTGAGTGTTTAGAAAAAGCTAAATAAAACTTCTTCAATAAAAATCAATAAAAAAGCTATAAAAATAGTACTGTAACTCATGTACTAGAATCTGAGCGGAGACGGTGGTACCTCCTGAAGGACTAATGAAAAGGGAACATTTCTGTTGGTGGAAACACTGCAACAGCACCTTAGCCACCTGAATAAGGATGGAAGCGACTATGCGAAGTCGTATAATCATCGATCAACAAATACTGAATTTATTAGCTGCAATTGCACAAGATTCATTTTTTGGCAGCTTTCAATGATTTTGGGAATTTGGGCTGGGCTGTTTTGGGTGCAGATGAAGATCGGGCACAAGTGCTACAGTACAACTTTCAAAATAGTATTTTCTTCCATCGTTTTTTTTTTTTTTTACGAACATCCAACGGATCAGTTGGCTATTGAGGAAAACTGTGCAGGTGCAAAGGGCTGGACCTCTTGGGCCTAATTTGGCTCTCCAGGCGTCGTCCCTAGCAGGCGGATGGGAGTTTGCAGCAGCCTAAAGCTCGTGTGTAATTGACTGTTTGCTGATTTATTTCCCGGCCCATTTCATTGAGCAAAGGTGAAGACTGAGCAATTTAGTATTTGGGTTTGGTCTTAAAAATGAGATATGTAAGATGGAGGTGAGTAAATTTATCATGTAAATATATTTTTTAATAACATATATATTGTCATTTTATAAATCAACTAGATAAATTTCCACCTTCTACACCATGAATAAGGCATAGTAGACTATAAAAATGTTGGTTTTCAATAACTTGGTCAAAAATAGTTAGTGTCATAAATATTGATACTCTTCTCTATAAATTTGGTTGAAATTGAGGACTTCGACAAAGCTAAAAATGTCACTGTTTTGCAGGATGAAGATAATAAATGACTACTCCTCTCATTGCAAAATAAACGCACATCTAAGCTTCTTGAGGAGTAATTTTTTAAGTTTGACTACGAATATAGAAAATAATATCAACATTTATATCTTTCCAAATGTGTTCATTACGAAAGTATATTCAATGCTTAATGTAATAATACTTACTCCTCCGGTTCTCTAAAGCAAGTCGTTTTGAGGTTGTGTTAAGTCAAACATTTTAAACTTTGACTACAAATAACTTCTTTTAGGTTGAGTTTGAAAATATGAAAGTGATGTAAATAGATTCATCTTGAAATGTAGTTTCATAAAAGTATATATTGACTATATTTTATAAATATTTTATAGTAAAAAGTTACTGATCAAAGTCGCGTTTCTTAAAGACCGTATCGATATCCAAAACGACTTGCTTTAGAGAACCGGAGGGAGTATTATACATCATAAATATTAGTGCATATTTTTATATATATTTGATCAAACTTTAAAAGATTGGACTCCTTAGAAAGCGAGATGTCCATTTATTTTTGGACAGGGAATAGATTTATGATGAGATGGAGAAGACATGTTCCTATTATGGGATGGAGTAGATAGATTCTATGACATAGAGTAAGTTTGTTTCTGTAATACTATAGGTAGACAGACAGACAAATAGATACAATGGTCAACAGACGACCTTCCCAAGAAAAAATTAAATATTCTTTATCTAAAAGAGAGAAAAATTAAATATACTTTAATCTAAAGATAGATATGTATAACTTCAGACAAGGCTGATCAGAGTCAACCCATAGATTTATTCTTCGTCAATAAAAAATCCACAGATTTATGGTATTTTTTAGGCATAATATATCTCCTTGTGAGACGAGAAGAAGCAGCCGATCAGCGGTCCGGCCTGCGGCTGCACAGTATAAATAGCATCCCCCGTCCTCCACTTTGTTGCATCCTTCACCTGTTCGTGCTACCTGATCTGTATGCGAGTGAGGGCAATGAGAGCACTTGTAGTGAGTTTTGCTTATGGCGTGGTTGCTGCTGTTGCAGCTCGCAGGAGCTTCGCATGTCGTCTACGAGAACCTCGAGGCCGAGGCTGCGACAGCGAAGGTGCCACCGTCCATCGTCAACCGCCTGCTGAGGACGGGGTACCACTTTCATCCTCCCAAGAACTGGATCAATGGTAATGTAAAGCTACTAACTCATCTTTTGTTGTCGACTGTCAAGGTTTCGCTCTAACTCATCTTCTAATCTTTTCGGTGTGCTGTGCTCTCCACCCTGATTGCATCGATCGGCGGCTTAACTTTGCAACGGCAGATCCCAACGGTAAGTCGTTTTCCCACCCTTTTTTATTTCCTGTTATCATGCATCCATATTCCAGATTTATTTTGGTATATATGCCATGCAACTTTCAACCTTATTCATGGGGATTACAGCACATTTTTTAACATGGAAATGGGAGATATTCGTACTCCACATGTAGATTGCTCTATTATTACTAGTGACATCTCGATTGGTGTTCTAGAACTGACTCGGTTTTCGATTGATGAAACTGCATGCAGCACCTATGTACTACAGAGGGTGGTACCATTTCTTCTACCAGTTCAATCCGAAGGGCGCCGTGTGGAACAACATTGTATGGGCGCACTCGGTGTCGCGAGATCTCATCAACTGGGTGGCACTAAAGACGGCCATCAGACCTAGCATCCCGTCCGACAGGTACGGCTGCTGGTCCAGCTCGGCGACCGTGCTGCCCGACGGCACTCCGGTGATCATGTACACGGGCATCAACCACCCCAACATCAACTACCAGGTCCAGAACGTGGCCTACCCAAAGAACAGGTCCGATCCACTGCTCCGGGAGTGGGTGAAGCCCTCGCACATCAACCCCGTCATCGTGCCGGGCGTGGCATCAACGTGACACAGTTCCGCGACCCGACCACGGCCTGGCGCGCCGCCGACCGCCAGTGGCGTCTGCTCATCGGCAGCGCGACGGAGGGCGGCTCACGCGGTGTGGCGTACGTGTACCGGAGCCGCGACTTCAGGCGGTGGACGCGGGTGCGGCGGCCGCTGCACTCGGCGGCCACGGGGATGTGGGAGTGCCCGGACTTCTACCCGGTGAGCACGGATGGCCGGCGCGTGGGGCTCGAGACCTCCGTGTCGTCCAGTCCGCAGGTGAAGCACGTGCTCAAGAACAGCCTCGACCTGTGGCGGTACGACTACTACACCGTTGGCACGTACGACCGCAAGGCCGAGCGGTACGTGCCGGACAACCCGCCGGCGACGAGCACCGCCTGCGGTACGACTACAACAACTTCTACGCGTCCAAGACGTTCTACGACCCGGCGAAGCGGCGCAGGATCCTCTGGGGTTGGGCCAACAGGTCCGACACCACCGCCGACGATGTGGCCAAAGGATGGGCTGGAATTCAGGCGATTCCGAGGACGGTGTGGCTGGACCCTGGCGGGAAGCAGCTGCTGCGGTGGCCCATCGAGGAGGTGGAGGCGGCGCTCAGAGGCAAGTCGGTCACTCTCATGAACAGGGTAATCAAGCCAGGGCACCACGTCCAGGTGACCGGGATACAAAATGGCACAGGTATCGTTACCGTTTCTCGCCTTGTGCATCTGTTGCCCACAGAATTTCACGGAGCTAGCTTCCTATTCGGCTGTGCAGGCGGACGTGGAGGTGAGCTTCGAGGTGTCGCCGTCGGCCCCTGGCTGGTGCCGAGCCGCTGGACCCGGCGCTCGCATACGACGCGGAGAGGCTGTGCGGCGTCAAGCGCGCCGACGTGAAGGGCGGCGTGGGCCCGTTCGGCCTGTGGGTGCTGGCCTCCGCCAACCTGAAGGAGAGGACCGCGGTGTTCTTCAGGGTGCTCAAGGCCGCCGGCAGCAACAAGCCCGTCGTGCTCCTGCGTGCACCGACCCTACACAAGTAAGTGCGCGCACACCGGCACCCATATCTCCCGTCTGGTCTTACTACCACGCACGCATTCGCAATGGCAAGTGGCCACCAGCCATGACATTTTCATACATGCAGCAGGTGCTGTGGTTACACGTATATCCACTTGACTGCACTGACTTGTGTTGGTTTCTTTTTGTTGCTCGGACAGGTCGTCTCTGAACCCAAATGTGTACCGCCCGACGTTTGCAGGTTTTGTCGACACGGACATTTCAAATGGAAAGATATCCCTGAGAAGCTTGGTATATGCGTAGTAGCACAAGTAAACAACAAGTTTCATGTAACACAAGTCCGCCCTTTATATTTTCTTAGCTGTGGCGATTACTTTTTCCTGCAGATCGACCGATCGGTTGTCGAGAGCTTTGGAGCCGGAGGCAAGACCTGCATCCTCTCCAGGGTCTACCCATCGCTTGCCATAGGCAACAAAGCTCACCTCTACGTGTTCAACAACGGGAGGATGGACGTCAAGGTGTCCCGTCTCGCCGCATGGGGATGAAGAAGCCCAGTCATGAACAGGGCCTGAAAATCTTTAATAAATAAATCACTCATAAATAATGGACCTAAAAAATCATTTTTTATATATTTTAGATGTCGTTTATGAATTGATTGCCTGTACTGAAGCGTGCCCGTTATGTTACAGTGGTATCAGTTGCACTTGAAATAGCAAAGACAATTGAATTTATTGTTCACTTGCACAATATTTAAAGGGAAGTGCTAAATTTCAGATGCCTACTAAAACAGCTTTTCCTCCAGTGATCAATTCCAGCATTCCGATAAATCACCTTTGCTCGTATTTGTGAGTTTGTAGGAAAAAAATTTATAGGCTATTCAACCCATCTCTAGCCATCTTGATCATAAAGGTGCGAAGTGCATCGACGATGGCTTAATTGATCTAACCACCACCACGGCAGCTCCTGGGCGAGGCGCGACATGTCTTGACTGCCACCATGGTAACCGGGCGGGTGTGACCTAGTTGCCTCCACGGTGGGGTGGCAGCTTGAAAGGTGGGGGCGATGACGACCCAACAATGAGCCTGGGAGCGATGCAATGGCAACCCAAACATGAGGGCGAGGAGGTAGGCCCACTCTTGCTGTTTGACAACAACAAAGACCATGATGATTTTGAACAAATAAATGGATTAGCCCCTAAAATAAAGATTTTGCTTCCTGACATAGATTGATTTGTTCGGGAGCACACGGTATCCTTTTAACTATTCTTCTATGTCTTTGACTAACCATGATCGGAGGTCTTTCATCAATGTACCCAGGCAAGTTACCTCATTTCAATGGGACTAACTTTGCCAAGGTGGTAGCACTTGATGAGGAGCGATCTTATAAGTCTTCACCCCGCATTTGGGAGATTGTGTGCAATGGATTTAGTTTTCACCGTTGATCCCAAGAACACAACACTAGAAGAGATGAGAATCATTCACCTCAATGGTCAAGCCACAAGTGTGTTGTTTAGTGCTTTGGATGGTGATGAGTCACGATAGAGTGATTGGGGTAGATGTTGCCAAGCAATTTGAGACACTTTGCACCTTGCACACAGAAGGTTGACAAAGTGAAAAGACAAGAATTGATTTGTTGATGTCAAAGCTCAACCGCTTTTGTAATCTTGGATGAAGAAGGGGTCACAGTGGAGATGTTTGATAGGTTAATGACAATGAAAGGGGCGATTAAAAGGCTACAGCAGTTATGAGCCAGATGATCACAAGATTTATGAAGATCATGTTGAGGCTTACTCACCTAAAAATGTGACCATGGTTACTCTAATTTAGAAGACGAAGAAGTT